AAAAAACAGTAAAAAACCACAACAGAACAACTGGTATGATTATATCCAGTGTGTAACATTTAGGAGGATCTATTGGCAGAAATTTTATATAATATATTGAATATAGTATTTATAGGTATGTTTGCATTAGTGTAATCACCTGAAAATAAGAACTGTTTTTGTCACCTTAGAATAAGTCATTTATCTACAGATGCTGCAGGTTGCCTTCCATGGAGGCCGCTGTGTTTCTACTAGTAGCCCAGAATAGAAAGAACCAAACACTGACTCTAGATCAGGCCGGTCGCGTCTTTCATGCATTTCGTGGCCACTGTAGTTTCTCCTTTGCGCTTGCAAGGGGAAGGTAAAGCAAGGAAGCTGCAATCTGCGACTGCACCGCTCGATGCCACTAAATCCTACACGCTGCTCCTTGAAGACGTTAAAGCTGAAGTGAAATGCAACGCGAACGTTCGACTGAGACTGCTTCTAGACTTTTAGGATTCATTTGAGTAGCTTTGACGGTGTCTTCAGTCCAGAAACAGGAACAGAAAAGAACATTGTGATTCATTCCCTCTGTGTTGTTGCATCAGGTCCGAGCCGGTGAGTCCCTGATGAAGCTGGTGTCCGATCTGAAGCAGTTCCTGATTCTGAACGACTTTCCCTCCGTGAACGACGCCATCAGCCTCCAGAACCAGCAGCTCCGCTCGCTGCAGGAGGAGTGTGACAAGAAGCTCACCTCGCTCCGTGACGAGATCGCCATCGACCTGTATGAGCTTGAGGAAGAATATTACTCCTCCAGGTACAAGTAGGCTCATACTTGCCCCCCATCCCACCGCCCCTCTGTTGTCCCATGCCCGGCACCATGTACCGTCTCACTTTTACCATTCACTGCTGAGCCCAAGGGAGGGTTTAGTTCCGCCCGCATCTAAACGTGGGTTGAATTTATGTCATCGTCATATCCAAACGGCACCATTCATCAACACCAAGCATTGCTGAGGGTCGTTGTGGTGGAGCTCATCTCACTAAGTGTTATTGATTACTAAGTGCCTTGACTGTATTTCTGCTCTGTGACGTGTGTCGTAAATTGATCAAAGCAGAGAGGACTTCAGCGTTAACTACAACATCGGTGTGTAAATGTAAGCAGCTCTTGGAACGACCACAGTTCAACATGTGTTTTTGAGCATTCAATGCAGTTCACTGATGCAGTATGAAAAAAGCCAGAAGGATACATCTCGTAATTCAGAACAGAATGCATTGGCACTGATTTACTGCTGGGTTTCTTTTCTTATAGGTGATCAGAGTCTCAGTTTACTGGTCTGCAGTGTCCAGTAGGCTTGAGAGAGGTTTTAAGAAATATTGTCAGGGAGAGGTTTAGTGGTTTAGTGGAATGTAAGTAGAGTCCTTTGCTCCTAGTTCATTTACAGCTAAAATATTTTAAAGTAATGGCCAGAATTTATTCAAATACATGACTAAAACACTTGAAGGGTTGTGACAAAGTTAACACAAAGTTTTGTAGAGAAAGTGAACTCCCTTTAGAAGAATTACACATTGAAATAACTAAAACTATATCAGAATATAGACTTTTATAAATGTGTCATTGATTGAAGATTATTTATATGTAATATTTAAATCATAAATGTAATGATGGTAGATTTTAAAGATGGGCTGTGGATGAACCTTTGGTATAGGCTGTAAAATACGACACGACTTGTTTGCTGTTATTTATTGGAGGTCAAATCTAAAGCTACCAGGAGTCTCTTAAATAGACGTTTTCTGTAAAAGCAATTAGGTTATTTTTAATTGATGCCGTCCTTAAGAGCACAAGGGACTCAAGCTGTAACCATGCGCGCCATCACACATGTTGTGGGTTGTTCATGTGTACCAGTTTGTGCCAGCTGTTCCAATAGACCCAGAATGATTAAGAAATAAAGTAGAGACAAAACACTGTAGTAGTTTGTCTTGTTTTCTGTGAGAAAGTATTAAAGTGTCTCAGCCTTGTTCGGAGCATGCTGGGTGTGGGCCTTCCTTCCTCGCTGCACTCGCTCTGCTTTCTCCTCCATCAGCAACTAATTGCACCTTTTTTGCTGAACTCGAAATCAACAATTGATTAAGTCACACTACTGACTACATTGTCTCATTAATAAACAGCTGTATTATGCATTGATCCAGTTTCCAGTGCTTCTGCATAACCTCCATGCTTCTATTGTATGCCTGCCCTTATGCGCTCCTCTACGTGTATGAATGTGCTTATTCTGACCTGCCGCTCTTGTCTGCTCCTCTCTTTCTGTGCTGCGCTGATTCTTTGCCTCCTACTGGTTTCCGCTCCGCACAGCTACAGTCAGTGGGACAGCACTGATCTGCCACTGTGTGAGGCCTACCGCCGACGAGACAGCTGGGCCTCCCCGGGCAGCAGCTGCAGCTCTACCCAGGGTGACCGAGAGGACGTGGAGGGACCGCCTCCACAGGAGACAAACCCCCAACAGCACCTCAACGGACACGGAGCATCCTCTATAGAGAAACCATGAGGAGAAAAGTGGACACTGATTGGAGCACTTGTGCTCAGTTTGGACTTCATTGGTTTTGCTCATTTAGTTTC